TATTATTATTATTATTATTATTATTATTATTATTATTATTATTATTATTATTATTATTATTACATTTCAACCGTTTGCACCGCTAGGTCGACTCCACGTGTCAAATTTATTTCGGTAGTATCCAAAGGTGAAACTAGACATTTTTACGCCCAGGGAAATTGTTAAAATAATATGCTCTACCATAGACTAATAATTAAATATCCATCCCTACGATTTCTTTCCGATGATTGGCTTGCAGTCATACTTATTGAGTTGTAAATGCGTTATCAGTAACAAAGTTAAAAATATCGAACTAGTAGCCAATAATAGATTAAATACTACAAAAATTACATACTCTAAAATTTCACCTCCGGGGTGAATTCAGATGTCATTCCCCGCCTTCCTTTCCTCAGTTCCACCCCTGTTTGTATCTTAGTATCGACATTTAAATGGTTTTATTTTCAATTTTTTTTTTTTTTTTTTTACAGTTTATTCGGAATACGTGTTCCTTATGCTTTTCATGGCCGAAATGTTCATCAAAATGTACGCGCTCGGCATACGGATATACTTCGATTCCGCGTTCAACCGGTTCGATTGCGTCGTCATCATGGGATCCATATTCGAAGTCGTTTGGTCAGCCGTCAAAGGAGGTTCATTCGGTCTGTCCGTGCTAAGAGCGCTGCGACTGTTGCGAATATTCAAAGTGACTAAGTAGGTGTCGTCTCCGAGTGCGAAATCGTTCATAATACACGTATAATGTAAAACCGCTTGCTTCCCAGGTATTGGTCTTCGTTGAGGAACCTCGTGATATCGTTACTCAACTCCATGAGATCAATCATATCGTTGCTATTCCTGTTGTTTTTGTTCATACTGATATTCGCGCTGCTCGGCATGCAGCTGTTTGGTGGGCAGTTCAACTTCGAGGAGGGTACGCCAGCGACGAACTTCAACACGTTTCCGATCGCTTTGCTGACGGTGTTCCAGGTGAGTTTCCATCCGCAACGAAGCGCAATAACTGTAATAGTGGTGGAATGACCGTATTAATTGTGTGCTCGACATTTACATAGATCCTGACCGGCGAAGATTGGAACGAAGTCATGTACCAGGGCATCAGAAGCCAAGCGCAAGCCCAAGGCGGAGGGATGATCTACGCTCTATACTTCATCATCTTGGTGCTGTTCGGTAACTATACGCTGTTGAACGTGTTCTTGGCCATCGCTGTTGACAATTTAGCGAACGCGCAGGAACTTACGGCCGCCGAGGAAGAACAAGAGGAAGAGGACAAAGAGGTGAGTGTTGCAATAATTGGATATTGTCTATTATTGAAATGTTTACGCCGTTGTTGATTCACACCGTGTTCGTACCAACAGAAGCAACAACAAGAACTCGAAAAAGAAATGGAAGCGTTGCAAATGAGTACCGACCCGTCAAAGATGGAAATGATACCAACATCGCCGTCGCAAAACTCCAGGTATAACATTTAATAACCATGTCCATGAGTGTTTTTGATATTAATTTATGAAATAATTCGAAGTGTTTCACTTATCAGACATCACCGCAAACATCATATGGATGAGCCGGACAGTAAGGTGGAGGAAGAAGAAGAAGACGAAGGTCCGAAGCCCATGTTACCGTATTCGTCGATGTTTTTACTGACGCCTACTAACGGGTAATTTATTGGAAACCGTGAAATTAACGTTCCAGGCGCACTTCATTCGATTCGCTATTGTTGTTATTGTAATTTTTTTTTTTTTCTGTCAACAGCATCAGAAGAGCCGCTCATTGGATCGTAAATCTGAGGTATTTCGATTTTTTCATAATGCTCATCATCATATTGAGCAGTGTGGCGTTAGCCGCCGAGGATCCGATCAACGACGAATCAGAATGGAACAACTGCCTGGACGTGGTCGACAACGTGTTCACCGTGATTTTCGCCATTGAAATGATACTGAAGGTACTATTCGTTATCCGTAAAATGAACCTCGCTATTCCGACCTGTATACTCATTTTTTTTTTTTTTTTTTGTCGTAATGCAGATAATCGATTTAGGGGTTATTTTACATCCCGGCTCGTACCTGCGAGAATTCTGGAACATAATGGACGCGGTAGTTGTCATTTGTGCGTTCGCATCGTTCATATTCCAAAAAAGGTACTGTGATAAATCATAGCAGCAGCGTTACGAATTCCCATTCAAGCCAGTAACGCCACACTGCCCGTAGCCCTCCTCCACAACCTTTTCTTTTGACTTTTTATAGAACAACAACAATAATAATAATAATAACACTGCGTTCGTTTTAGTGGCGGGTCCGTCGGTACGAATTTGTCGACCATCAAGTCGCTGCGAGTGCTAAGAGTGTTGCGACCACTCAAGACCATAAAACGCGTGCCCAAGCTCAAAGCGGTATTCGATTGCGTCGTCAATTCGTTGAAGAACGTAATAAACATATTGATAGTGTACATATTGTTCCATTTCATTTTCGCCGTCATCGCCGTGCAACTGTTCCATGGCAAGTTTTTCTTCTGTAACGACAGCAGCAAGTCGGTCAACAGTACATGTCAGTGAGTATCGCACAACTGTGCCGCGTGCGCGCGCCGCGTATCGTCGAAACCCGATTGACGACGATCGACATCCAAGTGCAATGGGTAACTAACGAATACGCGGCAAATTTTTTTTTTATCACGCGAAATCGAAAACCAATATTTCGATATTTGTTTGTACCATACACTGGTATATACACAAAAGAAAAAAAAAAAATCCATTATCGGTTTAACCGATCACACCAAGAGTTGTTCCGATATCGGGTTTTGATTGTAAAAATGCATGATCACATCTCAAACACGGTAACACGCATTCGTCAATTTCTAGGGGTTATTATTTCAAGTATGAAGCTGGAGATACGGAAGATGTGAACTCTCAAAAGTTTATGCCTACCGAGGAGCAAAGAGTGTGGGATCAGCAATCGTTTTACTATGACAACGTGGCCGTGGCCATGTTGACGTTGTTCGCGGTACAAACGGGCGAGGGATGGCCCCAGTGAGTAAAAACTAACGATTAATAAAATTATATAAAACTAATTAAACACATCACGATTAATAAGACGTGACGAAAAAAAAAAAAAAAAACAACATGATTTCGATATTAACGGTCATTGTTTTTTTTCCTTCTACTAACAGGGTGTTACAAAACTCAATAGCGGCCACGGAAGAGGACCGTGGTCCCATACCGAATTATCACATCGAGAGATCACTTTTCTACATAATTTATTTCATCGTTTTTCCGTTCTTCTTCGTAAACATATTCGTTGCGTTGATCATTATTACGTTTCAAGAACAAGGCGAGGCCGAACTGCAAGACGGCGAAATCGATAAGAATCAAGTAAGCGGGGACAAGTGTGTCCGTTATGGTACCGATTTTTGCGCAGTAAACCGTTTTCTGCGACTGTTATAATACCATCGTGTTCTTTTTGAACGGACGATGTACACAATCCCATATGAAATGCAAGCGATCGAAAGACATAATTTATTGGAATAAAATCGAAAGTTAAAAGGCCGAGAATCCTATGTCGGGTGAAACTCCACAGTCGGGGGTTTTTCAGGGGATCGGACATTTTTTTACGATTGTGATAATCAAAGCGATTCTTCTGGTCGAAATTGTGTACATGGTTTGGAAAAAATAATATTGCGTGACTAAATGATTTGTCTAATTAATAACTTACGATTATTAGTGGTGAGGTTGGTATTTTAAGTTTGTTGCCATTGTTTCTTTGTTTTTCTCAATTATTTGGAAAACTATCGGGAAATTCGAAAAATAAATATCCGCATTTACCAACCAGAACATAGAAAATGTTAGCTTAACCTATCCGTTCAAAGTGTACACTTGGACTAAACATAGACTCTGTTGGAAAAGTGTGGAAAACGGTTTAGTAAACTTAAATCGAAAATCTACCACAGCGCCATAGAGCCATCAGGACATAGCAGTGGCCGAGAACTGACCGCGTTTGTTTCAGAAATCCTGCATAGATTTTACCATACAAGCGAGACCGTTGGAGAGGTACATGCCCAAAGACAGGAACAGCATGAAGTACAAAATATGGCGCCTGGTGGTGTCCACGCCTTTTGAATATTTCATCATGATACTGATCGTTTTGAACACGCTGTTACTCATGATGAAGGTAAGTGTCGCTACGATGTTATCGGACGAGTAAATATTGTTGTTATCGTTCGTATACCTAATGTACCGTAACCGTATGTATCCATAACTTACTCGTGCGCTTATGGTACAACTATTGAGCATACTGTCCGCATTACCTGTGTTCATGCTTGGGTAACGTTCCTATAACAGCACTCGGAATACTAATAACATATCGCGAGCGTGTAACATTGATCGGCGTTCTTCTAAAAGTTAGTTAAACAGTATGCTCCGCATAAGTATCAAATTTGTCAAAAAAAAAAAAAAAAAAAATTATATCGATCTTTTGACGCGAAAAACAGTTTCCGTCTGACCAACGACGAGGACATTTCGCGATCTACAAAACGTTACGATTACTTTTGTACACCGTTCCGAAATACATATCCGTCAGCGATTCTAATGTTTGTTCTAAACATCATTCAAACCGTATTACTTACCCAAGTATGTCCGCCGTGTTCCACCGTGATTACGGTACCTACATATGTTTTATTGCATAAAACGTTGGCGGAACGGTCCAACGTGTCGATTTTGTTACAATAACGAGAAGATTACGAGACGTAGTATGACGCGTGTATTGTTAGTTGTTCGTTTTTTATTTTTTTTTTTATCCAAACACATATACCTATGAAATTCGATGTGTATTATATTTATGTTGACATTCGGAGTAAAACATTTACTGCACGAACTTCTCGTCGACGTCGAATCTGCATTTTCGTACGGTTCCCACAATTGTATACCGTCGTCGTTCCTCTTATAAACTTTTTGAAAATTTTTAACGTTATTTTATTGCATGCAATTTTGCTTCAGCTGATCACTCCTATTTGCTATGGATATCACACACATGATGGTTTTAATTTTTGAACATTTACTTTACTTTCGGGTTGCTTATTTTTCTCTATCTATTTCTCCGCATAACTTTTGCTTATAACATTTATTTTCAATATGTGTATGAATATATACATGTGTATATTTTTATATTTTATAATATTAATGGGTATCATTATTGTTGTATTAACAATTACTAAATTGTTGTAAAATAACGCATTGCTGCACTTTATATCAATTTGAATGTGTTTTTTTTTCTTCTTATCATCCGAACAAAATGTACGGACTCTATTACGAGACGGAACACATTTTTGCGATAAAATACAAATTATTAATTTTATCGAAAAAACGATTGGTAATTGTTTTCGGTAATTATAGCCAACGAAACGATTACCGAATATTTTACCCTGCAATCGAATCGACCCGAATGTAAGACTTGAGACTCAAAACGTTTCGTATGAGAGTAAAACAAAATCCGATATTGTGTATGTTAAAATTTATTTTTAAAACCGATCAGCGGGTTGGATTACAATTTAACAAATATGACGCGAGACCGTTTTGAAAGTTACACAAGAAACCGAGAATCGAGACGCAACAACAACACATTGTTGAATTAAGAGAGTCGTACGTTTTGCGAAGTGTCATTTGTTTTATTTAATTATTTCTACTTAGTTTTCTGAAAAAATGCTCTTCTTTCTCTTTTTGACTATAACGGTTGATGATTGTTTTTTTTTTTTTTTATTCATTTTTATAGTTTTATCAACAAAAAAAATCCTACAAGAGTGCTCTACATTACATGAACATGGTGTTTACTGGCATGTTTACGATTGAGTGCGTGCTCAAAATTTTGGCGTTTGGAGTCAGGGTAAGAGAAACACTTCCTCCAGTAGATTAATACCTATTTCAAAATAATATGATATGTGACATATGTTATAGATCGTCAATACATATTTTACAAATATTACCGTATTTATCATCGATAATTTATTAAAATAATATGTTACTATTTCTACAATTTTTTTTTTTTTTTATACCTATATTTTACGTTAATCGAAATACATTTGCAAAAGAAAACAATAATAATTATAATAACCTATACGATAATCACGCTCTTTCCATTAAATTATTTTTTCCAAAAACATCGCATACAAATCTCCACCTTCTCGAAAACACCATCTGCCAGTTGATCTAAAACAAAAAAAAAACTAATTTCACCCTAAAGATATTATACAGATAATATGTCATGTAAACCATTTTGATAATACCTATGTACAACGTAAGGTAAGTGAAGTTTTCGATTACATTGTGTTTAAATCTTTCATTTTATGTATTGATAAAATAATAAAAGGTGAGTTTTATCGACACATACTATCATTAATAGTAGGCTATATTTTTATAGATTCATTTTTAAAAACTTTGATGGTTTAATTTGCATGTTTTTTTTCAAGCGTACGTATTAGTGCGTACGTGTGTATTTGTGTGTGTATGTGTGTGCGTGCGTGTGCGTGTGCGTGTGTGTGTGCACTCGAAACCTTTACGTCCGCTTGTGTCTTGCGTTTTATGAATATTATATTATATTCTTTCGCATGCAACAACTTGTCAACCTTTTTATCCGAATAGTATTTAAATTCGAGGATTCGATAGGATGATACATGCATGTGTGTCCCATATATATACAATAGACATCACTATGTTATGCAAATACGTTACTATTACATGATACATGACACACGGTGCAAAAAAAAAAAATTATTTACGTACCGTGTAACGACGTTTTACATAATATCCGGTCTTCCGTGGAGTCTGCAGAAATTATTGTACACTAGCATATTTTTCGTCTAACGGAATATCTCACAGTATAATATATATATTTATATATTTATATGTATATATTATATTACTATTGTTGTTGTAACCGTCACGTACACGTGTCACATCGTAAATAGTACACATCGATTAGAGTCGTTAGATTGGTATTTTCGAATTTCGTCTTTGAACCTCCTCCCCCTAACACTAGTGGTAAATTAACAAAATATTATTGTAATCAAATAATCAGTATCTCGTGTTTATGATTCAACAGTCATGGATTTTCTGACGATTTCCCCAAATCTAAAGGCGAAAATCGAATGTTGTCAAATTGTACAAATTAGATTTGGTTTTTTTTTTTTTTTACATATATATACAGTACCAGAATTTTATTATTAGTTGCTATATTATTATTATTATCATCGATAATAATATTATTATTATTATTATTATTATTATTGTAACCGAGTCATTAAATTAGTTGCCTGTGTAATTAAAACGTTGCTTTTTATTTGATTGTTTATTCCGTGGCTGTGCAGCATCATCGCGAATCAAATCTACTTAACAGTGTTCTACTGAACCTTAATCATTTATTGACGCTGCTATTCCTGGTAGAATGTGTCTTAAAACTCATCGCGTTCGGATGCAAGGTAACGAATCAATTACACTATTATCAGTACATAATTATGTAATGCAATGTATAAACGAATACAAGAAATGTAATAGTTTGATTTACGTATCTGACACGAGCGTTAACTTTCTCGGCCGTCCCTCCGCAGTAATCGTTTATACATACATACATTTCCAATGGAAAGCATGCGTGCATTGAAAATAAATTATCGTACTGCACACATTATCGACAGAATTTAAAAACGATTCTCTCGGCGCAACACTTGTTATTATAATTATTATTGTAATCGTACGATCGTAACAAGATAACATTATTTTTCAATTAATAACGATGTTTTGTTTGCTTAACGAAATGGTTTTCAGAATTTTTTTAAAGATCCGTGGAATATTTTCGACTTTATCACGGTTATCGGAAGTATTGTGGACGCGCTGGTCATCGAATTCGGGGTAAGTTCAACGTAAAACATTTATATGCGTACACACGCACACAAACACACGCACACACGCACACACACATACACACACACAGAAACATACACACACACACACACACACAGAAACATACACACACACACACACAAGATTAACGCGGTTCCACGCATTGATTGTGTGTAGCAGCTATTCTCCTTAAATTATTTCACGTGTACACAGGTGTGAGTTCTGGATGCAAGTGTGTTCGTCTACCGCTATGTCTGTCCCCGTGCAATCAACAACCTCCCTCGGAAACGACAATAGTGTTGTAATCGATCGTCACGTTTGAAACCGAACCCACGCGGCTTCTACGTCACTCTCTCAGATAGATCTCCTCCTCGTATGCGATACCTTCCGCGTGCCTGCACACTCCGCATAGACTTTTCCCGTGACACGATCGCTATGCAAACGAACCGGCAAGTTTCCCGATATCGTACCGTCCGATACCTTAGTGCACAATCGTCACTATAGTGTATTACTATTGTTATCATCATTCCGACCGTCCGTTCTGTGTGCGCTGCGACCGTAGACACCTAGCATCCGACTGTAGTACCACGCACCATTTTGTACCCTGTTTGACGAGTACGCTTTTTTAACAATTTTGTCCAACGAACCCGACGGAAGGCGTACCGAAAGCGATGTACCGCGAAACGTAAGGACCCAACGGCCGTGCCTGTACATAAAGATACGCCAGAGATAGTCCGTTTCGAATTCCCAACGATTGTGTCCCTGGGAGGGGGGGGGAAATTATATATGTTGAAAATCGTGGCCCCTATGTTCAAGAACAAGTGAAACTCATCCGCGGCACATATACATATAATACATTTGTAAGGAACGGCATGGTGTTTTGTCGGAAATTTCGCACAATGAACGAACCGTATACGTACTTATCAGGCAGAAATGTGTAACATGTTTGCTCTTGTATAGGGACGCCTCGTATATGTGTACCGAACTGTGTTCGAGAAAGATTTAGTCCAAAAAGAACCAAAACTGCTGTTCGGAGAAGTTGTGGAGGTAAATTATATATTTAAAACATCAGGAGTACGCCAATTTGTTGCATCCGACGTAGACCGCACTTGTATACTGTTGAAGAATGTCTTTTGTAACTTTTTTTTTTTTTTTTGGTCTTTTTGGACATGGATTTTTATTTTTATTTTATTTTTCAATCATAACACGCATATATATATAAATATATATATATATATATATATATATATATAGACATATGCAAATGAATAGATAAATATATAATTATGTACATTATATGCATATTTAAGAAATACGTACCTGTACATATATATATACATGTATATCTTTATATATTTGTCTATCGTATGTGTACAGTACACAATACACATTGATAATGTTAAATATTGCTCTTGATCAAGCAGCAAACGAATATCACGATCCGATACGATTCGTGTGTTCGTCAACGACAGCGAACCGACATTAACAATACGGTTATAAAATTATCATATGTTTATAGGACGGATGCGAAAACATTAATCGTGTATGTAGCGAAAACGAAAAATAATATGCGATTTCAATTTTTTCCGTCCGTCAACGATTTTTTTTTTATCGCTTTTCGGGTCAAATACAATATTGTAATAAATAATAATATCCATCGACCGATTTCGAGTTACATCGAACCATAGTGACAATATTTGAACACCAGTACATTATTTTCAATTCGATTCGTATCTTTGTTCGTTTTAATTTTCTTATTTCAAAACGAATACGACTACGTCGAAAACTTCTGATACACGATCCCGATTGGAAATAATAATCCACAAAGGGTTACTCGGATTTTTGGTGTAGGTGCAGTAAAATTATAAATAACGTGTACGTTGGGAACGTAAATCAAAGAGTTAGTGCATTTAACCGTAGTATACGAAATACATGATGTTTGTTAGATTCCGTTGAACAATTGTAATTATTAAACGAGTACGTTTACAACTCGAGTAGTGAGTTAGTGTACTGTTATTTACTATGATAACATGATTGAGACGTATAATAATTATGCGATCGGTATTATTATACTATAATGCATCATATAGCGTATTGTATCATTACGGTTTAGGTATCCGAATCATAGAATCATTTTTAATCATAACCGTAGAAAAAAATATTCATACAGAAAACATACCGATAAATAGTATATTATTCATTATTATTATTATTATTATTATTATTTTCATTATTTTTTTTATACATATTATCACTGTCGTCATAGTCAATTAGTGTAGTACTAACCGAAACTAACGGCATAGCAATAATAACAGTAGTTACTAACATTATTTGTTTTAGAGTTTTATTTTTATTTTTTTCGTAGTGGAGTACATTATTATGACGTGGTTAGAATGATTTCGCGAATTTCCACATGCAGCGAATACTAACGCGCGGCTAAAGAGATAAAACTGAGGCAGTCGGATGAAAAAATCACACTGCAGTTTGACGTATTTTTTTACGTATGGCGCATAATATAGTGTGTAAACGCTAGAGGTTGTAACGATAAACAGATTAGGGCTTGGATGTTTATGCACTTAGAATCATTGTAATACGTACGTGTATATCCAATAAGAAATTATCAAATATGCAATCAGTATCATAAAAAAAAAAAAAAAATTAATGCATTTATAACTAAAAATAAAACTATCGAAATATACATAGATTAAATGTATTATAACTTTAAACATCAAAAATACAATATTTATTTAATAATTTATAAGTTTTTGATTTGATTTTCAAGTAAAAAGATAAAAAATAATTTTTATTGTTTAAAATAAGTAGATAAAACGTTTTAGGCCCAGCTCCCACCAAAGTAACGTAACATATAACGTGGCGAGTGACGTCGCTAGTAACGTGTACTCCAATTTAGTATCAAAACATTATAATCCTAACCAATAGATTGATAGGACTGTGAAAAATGGAATATTGCGTTGGCATCATTCAAATTCGGCACGTTCCATTTTATGCCACGTCCTATATTGTTCTAGTGACAAGCCTTTGGAAATCGTTTTGATTTATTCATTAAATTCATTTTTAAAAGTTTGAAAGTTTTAATTTTTTTTTTAAATGATAGATGACGCAGATTCAAACATAAATATTTTTAGTATAACTGAAGCCAACCCATGTATTTATAACCATAGTATTTCGGACTACAGCGACAGAAACGTATTCTATACTTAGGAAAAGATTTTATGAATAATAATGCATATAATATTAGTTATAATTCCTCTTGGTAGACATTTTGCACATAAATATTATTTTGTTTCATAAAATGATTGAAATCGCTCAGAATAGACATGAAATTATTTGAATACCCCAAAATCATTACGTTTAAGATTTTGATTCTTTTTCAATTATGGATGAACCCAATACCGTTTTTTTATTATTGTTTGCATTTTTGCGTTATTTATTTATTATACGTTATTAACATCGATTAATACACTAATGCATTAATACAGTTTCATCATCCGATGGAAAAGACGTTGTGTCACACCATTCGCCATTTTGTTGTTACGCGTTTTCTGCATCACATGCCACGCGATACATCACGTTACTTTGATTAGCTGTACTGAGACTGTGATTTTTTTTAATTACGTCTGTTGTCCGAAAGTAGATTTTTATATTGTGAAACCCTTATTTCTGCACTTAATATCGATCTTGGAGCATATTTGAAAAATTAAGATAAACGTTGTGAAATAGATTGTTTAGTTGCTCTGAATACTTCATTGATTTTAATTATTTTTAAAATAAATTAAAAAAATTACCAAAATACATTGAATGAGTTTTATAAGTTTTTCGAGTTTTTTACATTAAATCAATTTTTTAATATAATTAATAATAATAAATTATATTAAAATTAATAAGTATACATTAATAATAGAAAACCGTAAGTAAAATCAATATTATTTTTAGTAGAACATGAGCCAAATTAGTAACAAAGAATACTAGGTAGGTACTAAATTTGATACATAAAAAATGATATGCAATTTAATAAACATTCAAGCCGTCACGATAATATTATACACATAGATTAGACGAACATTTATGAAACGATCAAATTATATAAAAGTAAAATTTAAGCATCTAAAATATTACTCCACTGTCACTTTAATCGATACATTTTTTTTCCTATTGCCCGATGTAATTTTATTTTGTGTCATATACACTAGCGCTTCTCAAGTTTATTTATTTAAACTTTTTTCTTTAGGCCTTAAACATATTTGTGTTTATACATGTTTAAATTTATTTTTAAAAGTAAATTAAAAAACATTATTCACTATACATTTTAATAATTTATCTGTGTAAAATAGTACATGCAATTTTAGTACATATATAATTAAGAAAAAAAAAAAATTAATGATTTTGATTAAAGGGACTTTTCCGGTTTTACATTGCACAATAGGTCCTTACGGCCAAAAATATTGAGAAAACTGATATACACATACGAGTATGCTAAGCGATAATTTATAATGCTATGTATTATATGTATTTATTACATACGCTAAAACGTTTAATTTTTTATCTGGTGTCCTCGAATGGTAAACATCTATAGAGATTAAAAATTGTAATTAGATACTTAATTACGACCTTTATTCTTAATTCGATGACGTAGAGAATTTTAAGGTCCGTACGAATATACTCGTATGTGTATATATATAATTTGATATAAACATAATTACTTTTAGATGAAAATCTGATTAGCAAAAACCCGAGTATCCGGAATGTGGGCGAACATATATATTATTATGATTATTTACATTTTTCTTTTATTCCCCCTCCCCTCTTCCCATTGTGCATTTGTGTTTCGCGTTGTTCAACGATCACGTACGATTTTATCCCCGTTCCCTAACCTGCCGTACCCGTGTGCATAGTATACATATTGTATGGTATATTACAGTGTTTGTTGGAAGGTATTATGTGTGTACATTGTAAATGTAGAATAGTTATTTGACATCACCGTTTTCGATGCGTATAAATGCATAAGCTACTTCACCGGTATTAAGTATACTTTTGGCAATCCGGCTGGCGCGGAAAGGTATCGACGCAGCATCGACGTCCGCATTTCGAGCTCGTAGTCGTGTGGCGTTTTGGGGCAGTGATGAGCGATTTGAATCGATCTTTCCGTGCGCTGAATCGCCCTTTTCGGATCAATCTCCACGATTCGATCTTTTAAAAGATCGACTCGTTCTTATGGAGATCGATTCGAATCGTTAATCAGATTTTTTACGCGTATCATTTCATTAATAATTGTTGATCCGATTTCCGATATTTTAACGGTGCACACATCGGTTTGTTCTTGTCCCGAACTTTTTATTCAGTTTGAAATCGATTCATTTTCGAGGATCGCACATCAATAAGAGTTACTACACGTTTCCTTTGGATCACTTACAAGCATATCCGAAAAGAATGTCATTTATTGAAAAAAAAAAAACCCACATAATCGAGTACAGTAAATCGATCTTTTGCCATCCATCTTTTTTTTTTTTTTTCGATCGATCTTTTCAATCCGATTTCAATCGATTCACTTTCAAGAATCGTCCATCACTCGTTTTCGGGGGTTAATACAGCACAGAGTGTTTCTTTCCCCGTTCGACGACCGACGGGCGAGCCGTCGGCAGTAAACAGTATTTTTGTTGGAAATCACCCTGTGCTAACCGACTGCGCGAACCGATCGAAAACGATGACCGAGATCGCTGCGAAGTTCCGCCGCGTCCGTCCGCGTGTATTTAATGTACATATTATTATTGTTTATTATTATGATGATGTGTTGTGTAAATATCACCGATCGCAAACGACATACGGATTATTTTACCCTACTGACGGTGGACGACGTCATTTTATTATCATTATTATTATTATTATTATTATTATTATTATTATTATTATTATTAT